GCACTATGACCAAGTCTGTATGTGTGTTTCATAAGTTAAGGGGCCAAATTGGGTCCATGCAGGTGAAAGGGCCTAATGCTGGTTGTGGCGCACAATACTTCCGTAGTCCTAGAGCCAAACATGCTCACGGTTTGCCGGGTGTGAGAGCTTTTTCCTTTGTCTCTAGTGACTGGCTTCTCTTGCTCCCACACTGGTGCAAAATCATGTGACACACTATCTGTGAAGATGACTATACTACAAAATGTGAACAATGACAAACATTTCTGAGTTGGCACAGAAATTGGCACCACCATCAATTGCTAGCAAGAATATACAATAGCAAAGTCACTTTGAAAACACTTTGAAATTCCTTGAAAAAAGTTAAGCAGAATTATCATGTGACTTGATGGTTCAATTGTCATGTAACCTGATGATTCTTCTCACAAGCATGTACTCCAAGGAAGAAAAACGTTGTGCCCAAGAGATGAAAGAAACATCACTCACAGTAATTCAGAAAGCAGAAACCCAAATGTCCATCAGCTGACAAATGGAGTAACAGTGTATTGTAGGCTTACAAGGGGATGTCATTGAGCCATAGAAAGGAATTGAGCATTGATTCACACCAGGAGGTAGCTGAACCTTAAAAGCATTGGGCAAAGTGAAAGAATCCAGACACCAAATGTCACAGAGTTTAAAGTTCCGTTTACAGTAAATATCCAGAATAAGCAAATCTATAGGACAAGATTAGATTGTCGGGGACCAGGGGGAAGGAGGAAAGGGTGTGTGACTGCCATGGAGCACGAAGTTTCTTTTAAAATGATGACATGTTCTAAATTAGCGTTCGGAGTGGATTATGCACTGTATGATTATATTAAAACAAACCCATTGAATAGACAGGTTTTATGGTATGGAAATTATATATGAATATGACTGATTTTTTTCAAATAGAATTCCTAGAACTGAAAATTACAATAACTAACCAGGAAAATGTACAAGATAAGCTTAACAGAAAATTGAAGAATATAATGTTCGGTAAATTAAAAAAAACAGATCAGTGAAAGTGATCTACAGAGCAGAGAACTCAGGTTGGACAGAGTTTTCTAAGCCTCAAGGACTCCTGGGACAGTTTCAAACAGCCGAGCATACATTACGTTAGAGCTCCAGAAGAAGAAGAGAAAGAAAGGGGTACACAAAAATACTGCAGAACTACTGACTGAATCACCACCATGTTGACAAAATACAATAAAGTCTAGCTCTCAGAATTTCAGCAAACTCAACTTTTAGGAAAAGTGCAAAGAAAATCACAGCTACATGCATCATAATCAAACTACTAGAAAAGTGAAATCAAAAGCTTATATAAACTGGGCGGTGGTGGCGCACGCCTTTAATCCCAGCACTCGGGAGGCAGAGGCAGGCGGATCTCTGTGAGTTCAAGGCCAGGCTGGACCGACAGCCTCCAAAACAGTACAGAGAAACCCTGTCTCATAAAACCAAAAAAAAAAAAGCTTATATAACCCCACCAGACTAGAAAGAGGCTCCACCTGAATAAAACTAAAACAGGAACTAAGACCAGCATCTTGTCCAAACACTAGAGATCATTCAGGAAAGTCCTGGAGTATGAACTACAAAAGTCCACCCATATTGTACAACCAAACAAAATAGCCTTCAAAACAGAGGGCAAAATGAAGATATGTTTCAGCAAAACACAAGCTGGAAGAATCTGACACTCCTGGTGGAGGGGTACTGAAGATGGTCTTGAGGCTGAGAGGAAGGTACAGCAGTTGGAAACCTGGATGAGAAAGATCTGCTGTGTGTGCTGGCACATGATGGGTGTGGTAACACGTGCTCGAATCCCTGAACTGATGTAAGACAGTGCAAATTTGACACCAGCCTGGGCTACACAGCAAGTTTCAATAGTGAGACACTATTTCAAACACAGAACAAACAGATAAGCAAACGAACAGTTCCTGATAGAAGTATCCTAAAAGACACTGAGAGTCACCAGTCTACATGGAATATTAAATGGAGTTTCCTGTACACTGTACTTCCTTTCCAATTAGATATTTAACCAATTAATCCATTATCATATGAACCCAATGGCTTGCAATCAGCTATTTGAAAATGCAACAGAGAGGAACTGGAGAAATGGCTCAGCAGTTAAGAGCACTGGCTGCTCTCCAGGGAACCCAGGTTCAGTTCCCAGTGCACACACATGCGGCTCATACCCATCTGTAACTCCAGTTCAAGTAGAGCTGATGACCCCCTGGCCTCCAGACTCCAGGCATGCACATGGTGACACACAGACGTACATGCAGACAATGCACCAATACACATAAATGAAATGCATTTTATATGTAGCAGAGAGGACTGGCCCACATATGAATAAAACAGAAACATCTTCTGTTTTAAACTGTCAGAAGCCACACAGTAAATATCCATGGATAAGTAATACTCTTTAAAACCTGCTAATGGGTGTTAGGGATTTGGCTCGGCCATGAAGCTTAGCAGATGCAATGCCCTGGGTTTGGTCCCCAGGGCTGAAATATAAAATAAAATCTACTGCTAAAACTGCAGCTCTGTATGTTGGGCAACATCTCACATTAGCATCAATACAAACAGTTTGGAGAAAGACTCTTGTTACGGTCTCTACACTAGCCTTGAATTCATGACTCCCTTACCCCAGCCTCCTGCGTGCTGGGATTACAGGCATGTGCCATCACACCCAGCTTGTAACATTCGTTTTAAAATTTAATGCCGGTGAGCTAGTCTCCTTTTATAGACAGTGAGAGCCATGTGACTTACTTCCTTTTCTGACCTGTCAGAAAGTTCATAAATTTTTCTCAATGACAGTAGCTATTCTTAGTCTAGCTAAGTGTATACCCCTAGCCTGCCTGGGCTTGAGCCCTTTAAATAAACTCCCCACAATGATTCCAGGTTGGAAGCAGTGTCAGGGCATAGCCTTCCCTGCAATATGACCATAGCATTTAACTAACCCCCTTGCAAAATTAATTCCTCCTTTAGCAGACCCAGTTTCGTCCACATTTCCCAGTCTCAATTACGGGCATCCACACTTCCTCCTAATGGCTTCTTTTAAATAGAACAAAAGCAATAAGGTGAGCTAGTGGGGAAATGTCTGGTCCAAGATCAGATCCAAGTTTTAACTGTGGCTTCATCCTTCCATGACAGAGGTTGGTGAGCACATGATCACAGGCATGGCCCTTGGCTTCTCTGAACATCAGGTTTGCCTTCTAAGAAGGGTGCTGAGCGCTGACTCCCAGAGTTACCGTGCCAACCACCTGCTAGTGTCAGGTACACAGAGATGCTTGATAAAGAACAGCCTTGCTTTTCCTTTGTTTACCAAGAGCATTTGGCCTGAGCGTTAGGACACATGGTAAAACTCACTCTTCCCACTCTCCTACTGACCACACTGCTCCAGCCGCTGCTGCCCCGTCGCTTTCCTGCCATGGGACCGATATTTCCTTTGCTAAGCCATTCTTAGGTATCTCTGTAGCTTCTTTTTTATGTGACATCTGTTCAAGCTCACCCCCTTCCTTAACCAACTGGCCACAAGTAGAAGGGGACAGAGATGCTGCTCTGTATTAGCATCCCGTTTCTAGCTGTCAGATGCACGGTCTCCATGTGTTCCATAAATGCATGCACAGGCTGAGATAGGTTCCTCTTACCACCTAGCAGCAAGGAGCCACTGCATAGATGGACTGGAAAAAATAACCAGGTCCTCGGAAAATAAGAAAGGATAAGTTCCGTTTGGACCCAAAGGCCCCCTTCCTTCTAAAACTATCCCACAATGGAAGAGAGAGAGAGAGAAAGTACACATACAAACCAAAGCTGAACCTGGGCTAGTGTCCGGAACCCATCCCCAACACTCTCACAACCTCTTCACTCAGCAGCCAACATAGCAGCGCTAGGACACGTAGACGCCAGCCAGAGGACAGAAGGGGCTGCTAGACAGAACATTCCCAAGGCTTCAGATGCCAGCATGGCCTCATGGCAAATAGTAACAGGATCACACAGGCCCTGGATGTCCTGCAGCTGGAGCAAGGAGACAGCAGGGTTCCTTGAGGTCTGGTGTCAGATCCCCAAATTCAGACAGGTAAAGGGACCAAAGAGTGTCATTGTTATCTTAAAAAGCAGCCTTTTTCATCCACACACAGACACACACACACACACACACACACACACACACACACACACACACACATACGCACACACTTTGCCAAAGATCTTCTTGCCATCTGCCACTTGCCTCTGGGATCACATCTGACCTTGCTCAGTGGGACCTCCCGGGACAGGGGCCACATAGGCCCTGGGAATATCTGTTCACAAAGTGTCAGGACTATGACTGACACTTGCCTTCCAGTCCCTTCTCTGTGTTCACGCCAAAGACATGGTCACCTCCCACTCCAACTCCAGCAACAGGATTCCCTGAGATCCCATCGCAGGCAAAGACAAGCTCCAAACACATCTGTCTGCTCATTCTGATGTGGGAGGTGCAGTAAACAGACAGCCTTGTCCCCCAAGACCCACCTCAGTCCGCTTTTCTTCTAAGAAACACCGACTCGGGCATGTCATACCCGAGTTTGCAGCACCCAGGTAAAATGACTCATGTTCAAGCCCTTCCTCAGGATGGTTTGAGAGAAGAGGTTTGCTGAAACCTGGAGGCCACTTTGGGATGCTGTGTCCTCACTGTCATGTCAACCTGGATCCTGACTTACCCTTAGACTGGGTCACATTCTAAGACTGTAGCAAGAAGAGGCAGACAGGTAGAACTGGTGAGTGGCGCTGAGAAGTGATACCAGTCCTCCGTCACTTGATAAAATGTGTAAAGGAAACTAAGAGTTTGGGGAATTACTTGGGCACCCTCACCTTCCCCACGACCCTTTCCAGCTTCACCTGAAGTCATTCATTCCAAAGGACAGGTTAAGTTAGAAAGCCTTCTCCTCCACCTCTTCTCCCAACTTGTGAGATGCTGAGAACCAGGGTCCTGGGCAGGGGAAACTTACCTCGCAGCCCAGCGGCTGCCATGGTGCTGGTCCCAGAACCCAAGCCCCAACTGGTGGTCCTTGGCTGTGCTAGCCTCTGGACAGGCTTATGCGGCTGCTGCTGAGTTAATTCCATCGCAGCTCAGCTCAGTCTGGAGAAGCCTGCCCCTCCCCTGCGGCTGCCACCTCCTCCAATCCATCCTCTCCCTTGACAGTCCCTGTGCTCCTCCTGCTCTGAAAGCTAGCCTAACATCAGAAATGATCCCAAGCTCAGGTGCAGCCCAGTGACACACTGGGGTCATGGGCGGCGGGCCAGGGAGTAAACGCTGCTGGCACTCCTCCACCCAGAGTCTGAGCGACAACCTCACAGCCGACTCGCCTGTGATAATTCAGCCCGGATTATCTCATGAACCGTCTGGCTGATTAGTTTCCAGTCCTGCCACTGAAGCCTCCTTCCTCTGGCTCCAAGGGTCACCGCTCTCCAGGCTACAGCCCTGAGTAGCAGTGGAGACGTAAACAGAACAATGGGGTCCCTTCACATACTGTACCCCATCACCAGCTGTCTGGAGTAAAGCAGGAAAAAGTCACAGGCTTGCAAGTAGAGGGCGGGTGTGTGTACACAAGAACATAGGGCAGAGAGGAGAGGGCATGGATTTGAGTTTCCCAGGAAACTCCAGGACAGTTAAGGGAGAGCCAAGAGTAAGCTGTGGGACAAAGGCGGTGTCATTTCCCTAGAGTGTCGTAGGGACCTGACCAGGTGAAGAGGTCTCCAAAGGGCCATTCTCAGTGATGGGAGCTACATACATTTAAAGATGCCACAAGCAAACTGTGCTCCTCAATACCACACCCCCACCATGGAAAAGCATTGTGTCACCATCACATACACTGTTTGTAATCACTGATTCCGAGAGACATCTGTCCTCTCTTCTACAGAAGACAGTGGCAGGAACACAACAGAATGGAAAGAAGACAGAAAGCATTGTGGTCCAACCTCAATGGACCCTCCCCCCCCCGTAATAACAGCTATATTTATCGAAAACTCTGACTTCTTCAGGAGTCTCTCAAGTGTTTCGCTTTACCCCATGTTCATGATTCAGTCCCAACCTTCATTCTATGATGACCTCCATACATTCTTTTATACATGCAGAGGCTACATGAGGCAGGCAGCCTGCTCAATGTCCCTGCTGAGAACATTTCACAGCTCAGCTTCTCTCTCCCTCTTCTTTCCCTCCACAATCTCCTTCCTTCACAGTGCCCTCTTCCTGCTTCCAGGATTATTTCTCCATGGCATTTCCATCCCTAAATGGATTAAAAGGCACCCACCTATCATTGCTCCTTATTGGTTAGTATTCAGGCATCTGTGCTGGCCTGTCCTTGGGGTTCTGACAGGATGCACCCTCAGCTGCAGCCACTAAGAGCACCTCCTGTGCACATTCACTATGTTCCCTGTTCCCACCTCCCATCCTCTCCCTCCCCTCCCACCTCCCTCCTGCCTCTCTTTCCTCTCTCCTGCTGCTCCTGTCCCTGAAGGCCAGTCTCCCCTCCCCCTCCCCCTTTCTCATTTTTTGATCCCTTTTCCTAATAAAAAAATCCCTCCACTTGAACTCTGTCGCATGGCATCTTTCTTGCACTGCTGGCGTCCAGGCTGCAGGTACCTCCCTTCCGCAGGGGCCACTAAGGTACGTAGGAGATTTGTCCTGCTTCTCCACCGTGTCATCTATCCTGGCAGCGGGAGCCTAGTTCAAGGGGCTGCTCTGTGCCACGCACAGAAGCAACTGGATTGGAAGAAGTGAGAGCTGGTGTTCCTAAGCATGTGTTTATAGGTCCCAGCCACCAGGCTGTTTCTGGAGAGGCATCTCCACCCTGTCCCTTCCCACACAGAAGATACTGTGGTTCTACTGCTTCCTGGTGTAGGTGGCCTTGGCCCCAGACACTGGGCTAAGAGTATTTTCAGGGGAACTCTACGTTTTGCTCCTCAAAACCACCCTCAGACCTCAGGCTTAGGCTCAGCTGTCCTCTCAGACTTCAAACACAGTCCACCACCAGCCTTGGTTAAGACGAGAGCTCAGCCTTTATTGTGGGCCCAGGAGGTCATAAGGGCGGGAAGTGCAAGGGACAGACTCGGCACGGGCAGCAGCGGGGTCCACGGCAGCTGCGCATCCCTCAGTGGCTGCACTTGCGGGGAGAGCACCTGCACTGCAAGGCGTTGATGACCTCGTGGTACACGACAGAGCCGTTGGTGCAGTGCAAGGGCACACGCATGGACTCCGTCCTCGAGGGCCCACAGCAGGAGCACTGGTCCTGCACGTCCTCGACGTCAATGGAGTACACGGCTTTGCTGGCACACTTGCCCTGTAACACAGCAGAGACGAGGCATTGCAGGTCTGAACGGAGCAACAGGACTGGCACAGCCTGGATCAGTCCTCTCTACCTTTCCAAACAACACAGGCCCTGCCTCACCCACAGGCACACGGGAGAGCTAGGTAAGTTGTAAAGGTAGATCTTAGGAAACAGTGAACTTCCTTTCTTCAGTTGTTAAGCACACCCAAATCCCTCTGGCTGTGGTTTCTACACACACTGACTGATCCTAAGTCCCCATCTTCTACAAACGTCTTCTACAAACAGCCCCCCCCCCCGTCTCTTTACAGGTCTGTTTTGGTCTTTCTTCTGGGTCAAACAACCCTACTCCCTAAATGAAACATTTACTTTAAAAACAATGTTTACAGTTCCTTATATCTCTCTTCCTTGTGACTTTTCCAGATCCTCCTAGATGATAACTAAGGAAACGGTAGCCTTCCCCACCCAAGTCTTCTTGAAGTCACACAAGCCTTACCTGGCAGTAATGAATGTCCACTTCATCTCGGGACTTACAGTCTCCCACTTTGACATACTGCAGCATGGCTACGATGTCTTTGCAATCAGGCTCCTCACCTATAGAACAAGTGAGAGGTGGAACTGGAGGGCTGCCTAGCTGGGGTTCTTCAGGGCACTTTCCATATCCAGTGCCTTCGCTAGGTTGGAATTCCTCTTTCTATCAACAACTAACCAAAGCCAGCTGCGAGACGAGGAATTGAGTTTCTCAAGCTCACCTCAGCAGCTTCCGGCTCCTCCAATTCAGAGATATCATTACTACTAGATAACTCACTTTACGGTGCCCTTTTAATTGCAGAAGGAGTCTAGGTTGACTGTGTTTTGGTCATATAGATGGATGAGGCTTGCTTTTATATAATTTGAAATTCAGAAAAACATCATGGCCAGAGAAATCTTGTCAAGCTGTAACTATACACAGAAGCTAATGGACAATGAAGTAGCCACTAAATAGAATTAATATCAGTCCATCCCTATATTTTGCTAAGAAGACAAATGTCCCAGCCACACACATATTCACTCCCTGTGTAGAAGCTGAGGAGACCCCTAAGAACCTTTGGGCCACCATCTCACTGAGACTTGCTACTTCCATGTCACCAAATGAGTTTCCTTATATACGTTGCCTTCACACCTGAAGCTCTGCATGACTCACTGAGAGATCTAAGCTCCACTACCAGCTCACTACTCTTATCTGAGTCATGGCAGTTTTCCATCATGCATGGTTCCAAATCTAGGCCAGCCCTACAGACATATCAGCCTGCCTCCCAACATCAGACTAATTTCATGTTAGAAAGAAAGTCTTCCAACTGTGCAAGAGGATGAATTTGGAGCCAATATGCAATATTCTCTTGTTGCAGATTGAAACCCTTAAGCCTAGTTTATTTTCCTTCCAGAAGGTCTTACAACCTTCTGAAAATGTTGTCTAACGAAGGCTCCTTATTGCTGGTTTTGTAGACAGCGGCCTCTTAACCAAATCGCAAGAATAACATCTGGAGAGAGTGCATCTTCTCTGATGGCTTCCTAAATTCACCATTCAGGAGAAATGTGCAAAGAAACACTCTCAGAGGTTGTTTCTTCCTTCTGCAGTTTGGTGATGGCAATCACTGGAGCTATCATAGCAAGCCACCAAGAAAAGAAGAAATAATTGAGGGAATTCACACCTTCACTCTTCTCTAACTGCAACCAAGCATGAGCCCATGACTCTAAAATGAAGCTAAACAAACTAAAATGGGAACTATTAGTCTAAGAAAAAAATTGTGACTTGTGCACATGAACACAAAAAAGGATGAGTGAGATATTGTCTGGTGCACATCTCCAAAACCACGCAATCAGAGGCATTAGTATAGTGTAACTATAAGGCCAAGTGAATCCAAGGTTGATGGAAATAAGGCCATAAACTTGGGCTAGAGCCCCGTGATGCCCCCTCATGATAACTGTATGAACAATCAAAGTTTCTAAGGTGCACAAGAGGCTGGAGATGGAGCTGAAAGAAGAAGGAAGTAATTGCTTCATGGGCAATTCATAGGGGATTTGAGCAGGGTATGGGTCAATGATAATCAGAAAGGAAAGTTAGTTGGCTGAAGAGACGAACATAATAACCAACTGATAACTAAGAATTACTTTTTCTGGAATAAACTTTACTTCAAATAATGGTGCCTGGCCTTGGTGTACTGGACATCAAGGACAGGCTCTTAGTAATGTACTCACAAGTGTCGCAGCAGGTGCCTGGAATCTTCACAATTCTCCCCTAAGAAAAAGGAAAAGTACAAGATCAGGCACAAGTAATTCAACATGGATGAGTTCTTGGGTCACATGACTTCCGGGCTCTGAACTCAGAGCTCTGAGCTGAAATCCTCAGATATAAATTGCTTTCCCATCACAATTGTGTGTCAACTGAACATTTCACCTGATCAGAGTGGTCGGATTCTTCAACTCCCAGGAAAAAATAGGGGCAGTGTAAGTATGCAGCTCTGAGGAGAAGGGTTTCCCCAACACAAGTGTTGCAGCTCTGAGGGGAAAGGTTTCCCCAGTGTAAGTGTTGTGACTCTGCAGGGAAAGGTATCCTGGCAGTGGGGAGTCAAGCAATGCCACAAAGTCACACTGCACAACAAACCTCACTCAAGAGATTTATTGGGAGAGACACAGGAGGGTAGCTGTCTCTGCTAAGGTGAGAAGCAGCAAGGAACTGAGCAGGAGGCAGGCTTTATATAGGGTTTCTTGGATATAGAGTTTTCCAGAGTGAAGATTTCCAGGGTAGGGACTGGTGGG